GCCAAATCGCAAGACTTGCTCTGCATCAACATCTACAGCTTGACTCGACTCGCGTTACTGCGATCTGCCACTCCTTGAGACACCACTACATTTCCTTGTTTCCGATACATCTCCCTTGCCGTCTTTGTGTTCCTCGTTGACGAATCGCCTCCGCTGGCACGTATTCCCTTATTCCTCTCCGCCGTGCGGATTTCCTATTGTCGAGCAGTACCACACCACTGTTGTAGATACGCTCCTTCAGACACCCGAGCATCGCCGACGCAGCTATAATTGTATATCCTAATCCAACCACACGGACGCATTTCCTTCGGCGCCGTACCTGAGCGGGATTATAGCCGCTCCCTAGATAGCGTTTACAGGCCTCGAAATAGATCCCTTGGAGCATGTCACCAAAGCGGCAAATTTAGACACCTCAACTGAGATAACCCTCGCTGCCTGGGAATAAGCGCTCTCGCCGATGAGCTAGCCGCCATGGCCTCACCCGCTCAGCCTACGAATGATGAGACCTCGCCTGCTCCTCTGTTCCCCCCGGCACCTCCCAGTGTCATTTCCTCCCGTATGACAGATATAGCATCCGAGGATGGCGATACAGCCGGACCAGCTGTCCAAAAGAACAGTCACACTACCGAATCGCGCCCGGGAACTGCAATCACTGGCATGTCGTCCACTCGAGGTGGTAACTGGTCGCAGTCTTTGCCGCTCCGGAAAGGCCTCCAGCGAGGTAGTTTGAGCGGCAGCGTAGGGAGTGGAAGGCCGCTGAGCTCCGCGAGCAGGACCAGTAGGAGCCATGCCCCTTTAGCCTCCCAAGCCTTCTTTCGGCCAATGAGCTCGCAGAAGCTTCAGGCACAACGAGCATCGCGTCCTCCATCCATCGGCCAACACCGACCTAGCATCGACGACTTACCAGACGAGGATGACCAGTCCCACATTGCGCCTCATGAAATCCTTGCGCCGGTGACTAAGAGTCGTATCAACCAGCTTACTAGCGATCCGGACGATGTGCAGCCGCCACCATCTCGAGGCACAGAGATAACGGAGCCTTACGATCGTGTTACAACTACCACAAGTCCTACGCATGGCTACTACCCTACAGCTAGTGTTACCGACAGCGTCAGCCCACTGCATCGGAAGAATGCCGAAGAGAAAGGGCTGTCCTTAAACCTCGACAAAGCCAGTAGTTACCGGAACGCAGGCGGCCCTCCAAGTCCGGTCCAGACGCCGCACTCCTTCAGGTCTAGTTTATTCCTGCCGGGTAGGGGTGATTCAGCTTCAAACCGTCCGAATCATGACATGCACGGTGCAGAAAAACTCTCATCTGGTGCTTCGTCTCCACGGCTACCCCCAAATACTGCTGGAACTAGTGGTAAAGAGACACACCCCAAGTCCCAACTTGGCCGCAACCATGAGTATTTTGAAGGCAACACAGTATTCTGCCTCGGCGGACGTCTACAGAACACTCGCCAGCGGCCTATCAATTATGGCACAGGCTTTCTCATAGTTCTCCCAGCTGGTTTATTCTTCGGGGGGTGTGCTCCATACCTCTGGCACAATGTATCGCCTGCTATTCCAATCATATTTGCGTACATTTTTATCGTTGCTTTCTCCTCATTCGTTCGTGCGTCTGTGTCAGACCCTGGGGTAAGTTCGAAATTCATTTCATTCGTCAACACCATGGACTAACATGAAGAACCTAGATCTTGCCTCGTAATCTTCATCAATTCCCCCCGGCAGATGAGAACGAGGATCCCCTGCGTCTCGCGCCTCCAACTAATGACTGGACCCTGATTAAGTCGGCGGAATCGAGCATAGCGGCCATGGAAGTCCCAACTAAATTCTGCAGAAGTTGCAATATATGGCGACCACCTCGCGCTCATCATTGTCGCTTGTGTGACAACTGTGTCGAGACACAAGATCACCACTGCGTCTGGGTTAATAACTGTGTGGGCCGTCGAAACTACCGGTACTTCTTTACTTTTGTCACTTGGACTACCGTCATGGGTCTCTACCTTATCGGTACTTCACTCGCTCAGATCATCATCTATTCGCATCGCGAAGGTGTCTCTTTCGGTGAGGCGGTTAACCATTTTCGCATCGCATTTACTCTAGTCATATACGCAATCTTCGGCGCTCTCTATCCCGCTGCGCTGACCGGCTACCACTTATTTCTCATGGGGAGGGGCGAGACAACTAGAGAATTCCTCAACTCGCACAAGCTTCTCAAACAGGATAGGTACCGGGCTTTTACGCAGGGGAGCATGTGGAGAAACTGGGTGGTTGTACTGTGTCGCCCTCGACCACCGACATACTATCGCTTCAAAGACCGCTACGAGGAAGGTGACCAGCGTTTTGGAGAGCGGCGAACCATACAGGAAAACCGAAAACCTACAGGCAGTCAGGATGTGGAAATGCACTCTGTACGGCCATTTCAAGGCCCGGTGTCTTTGCGCAATGAAACCTCGGCTTCTCGATGAAATTTTCACTTGCCCCTATGCACGGTCGATTTTCAGCGACCGAGTCAGTGACTCACCCTTTTTTGCCGTATCTTTTTTATTGTTCTATACCCATAATAATCGTTCGTTTCACACATCCATTTATTTAATTAGGTCATGAGCTCTGTCATGTAGGCATAGTGCTGAGCCTTAGACTAGAGCCTCGCTTGACCTCGTCGGCCTAGACAGCTGGGCAAAATATTACTACGAAGACATTGCTAATGGGTGTATTGCACCTGCTTGTATGTATATGTGTAAAGGGCTATTTTTCGCTTCGCGACCGCTACGGGAGGGTTGGGTATGTTGCGTTGTTCCGAGACTAGATAGACGAATGTAATGATGTCGATGTAACTCATAAATCGGTGCACTATTCATATAACTCAGCTATATGATTGAACAGTCCTCCAGATGAGATTTAATGGCGTTGTGATGAGTAGTGAGACCCCATATTCCCCTTTGCGTATACTTTTGTTGACTCTCCATCTCTTGATTTTTTCGATATTAACTTGACAGAGTAAAAAATCCGCTCACTGCGCAACCTCACCTTACAAGCTGATACCGATCAGAAAACCGCTCCAGCTTTCCCTCCTCGACCCGGAGCCGCAGCCTCGACTCGGCCAGCTTGCCACGAAGCGCATCGAGCTTGTCCCGCGCCCTGCGCTCGCTCTTCTCCGCCTTCCGAATGGTCTTTTCTACTACTCTTATCTTGCCTTCTATTTCCTTGCTCTGCGCCCTCGTCTTCTCTGCCTCCTCGTGTGCGTTCCGCTCGAACTCCCCGTTGGCACCGGGCCGTCCGCTCTCTGCGAGCCGCTGCGAGTGCCGCTGCAGTGTGGATTGGAAGTCTTTGTAACGCATCTCCAGAGTTGCGAGAGCGTGGTGTACTAATAATGGGACTAGTTAACTGCCATTTCCGACTTGTACTTTAAGTATATTTGACTTTGTCTTTCTAATGCGGTTTTATGTGGGCTCTCTCAGAGGATGAGATGAACTACTTCCTCTAAAATGTATGAAACCGGCTGGGACAATGACAATAGAAAAGAAAAGGAAGAAAGATTAACTAAGAATGTCATACAGTCTTCTTTCTGAGCGTCAAGGGCGTGAATCTCTGCCACCCGAATGTTGACGGTATTCCACTGCGCGTCGACCTTGCTCTTATAATCACGTAATCTCGCTTCTTTCTTGAGGACGATATCCCTCTGCTTCTGTACCGTCGACATTTTGCAGACTGAGCTGGGCACGAGGGCGTTGATACAAGTCGATCGCTTGATTACCATTATAGTCGCGGTTCTTGATTAAAAGTGCCGTGATGGGGGCTACGTTGGGATATTGAATGAAGGGAGCACATATGGTAGGGTATTTCATTATAACGCAGAGGACGAGGTGTTACAGGTGACTCCCGTCTCTGATAGCTGAGAGTCATGTCACATGCAAAACTAGCCGTTATCGATCCCTTGACGGTCACGCGGATGGAACTAATTGCATGCAAATAGAATTCCCTCGCTAACGATGGCCTGGGAAAGGGCATCGGCCCCATCCCGTGGAACGCAAACATGAACCCTCGTACTACCATGCGGCAAAAGGATGAAGATGGAGCAATGGGACTCCCGACCTCTCGACTAATATACACATCACCAACTAAAGCACATACACTTATATATGACTTGTATTGGGAGGCGCGACCTTATTCCGATTAGCTTTTGTAGCGAGGCTTAGATCTTTTATAGACATAGCATGCATAAGAGCGGGAGGCTTAGCGCATCCAGTTCATTCGATCCGATAGCAACATGAGAAGTAATTAGTGGTGGCAACATATTTTTTCTTTCACGCATTTCCTTCAGCGTCCTTCGCCTGTCACTTCTGTCGACTGGCGGGCTGCTCGTGATGTCCGTATCACTGTCCCTTGAGCATCTCGCTCGGTTTGTACAACGTCTTGTTAAGCTGGATCCTTACAGTAGACTGGGTTGGGTATCCAACGGTACTCTCCAGATGCAGCGCCTAGAAAATTAAAAGCTAAGGCTTGGCGAGTAGACAGGCGGCGACGAAACGGTGCCTGCTACTAAAACTCTTACCTGTCTAGCCCGACTTGATATCTCCGATTCGAAGCACTAGCAGTCATGGTGGTAGACAGATGAACTTAGAAGGATTCCTCCTCATTTCAGGTCTCAAGATATCTAGCCCCGGAAATTTCCATATAAACTCTCTAAGGTATGTGTAACTTAGTATTGTTGATCTCATTTTTACGATGGTAGAGTCAGTAGTTAGTACTCTACGTGCAAGCGATATAACCTGTTGGTAGCAACACTATTTCCGCGTTCTGCAATCATGGCACCGCGGTGTCTGATATGCTGTTTCACAGGTATTTGGGCAAGATGCCGAGCGACATGATTACCTAGTCCGGCCAACCTGTAAACACATTAGTAACGTTGACGATTCTTCAAGAAGACGTTGCCTCTAAACTCGACGCTGTTAACGTCCTATACACTAATAGAAACCACAATATCTCATCTGATTGGTCGGTTATTTCAGTTGGTTAGCGCGTCGTACTGATACAGCCCAAGGTGCATCAAGTAATGCGAAGGTCATGGGTTTGACCCCCATACTGACCACAACACCAGTGTCCAATCCTTAGGAGTATTCTTTTTCATGTATGTCTAGTTTTGAAATGTCACAATTGTTTTACTGATAAGAATGCAACAACATTTTGGCTTCTTTTTCGTTCATTGCTTTCTTGCCCACGCAATGTAAAAACACTTAATTTAGAATGGCTTTTTTTATGTTTAAGTTTAGTGAAGTTTGTATGCGACAGGCCATTTATTCAAGTAACAACGGGAGAATGCGTAACTGTTTTAAATAGCTGTTACAAAACACGTTTATAGTTGAAATAAAACCAACAGAAACTTAGGTGGCTCCTTTCCTTTACTCCTTGTCTCATGGTTGGATTCCGGAACGACTGGCTATTATCGCGGATGCATATGTGCTTGGTTATATAAGACCTTATGCATTGTATATATGTGCTTTTAAGTGCAAGCTCGCTGAAACAACAAAACAAAGGAGCAGTTGCAACATATGCACGACCTTGTACCTGTTCTTAAATAGTACATGTTTCAGGAGAACAGCTAAGGCTTAAGCTTGTCTATATATTAAGCCAAATGGTCAAGTATAAAATTCCGACATAAACAAGCGGTATCCTTTCAATAGATCTTGCCAACAAATCACTGCCATGCCCCAACTCATCCATGTTATCCGCCATGCGCAAGCTCTGCACAATGTCCATCAGGATTTCAGCCATCATGACCCCGAATTGACTGAACTTGGCTACGAGCAATGCAAAACAGCAGCTAAAGAGCTCGAGAGCTTAGACAAAATAGAACTGATACTTGCATCACCTTTACAACGAACAATTCAAACGGCACTTTGCCTCTTTCCTGCATACACAGAATCAAACAAGCGAATTGTCCTACTGCCCCAATTGCAAGAAGTGGGCTGCACCAGGAGCGACACAGGTAACTCTAGGGAGTTCCTGGAAACCAAGTACGGTGCTGTTCTAGATTACAGCTTTGTTACCCCGGACTGGACGGATAAAACTGGTGAAAGTCCCTATGCGCCTCGATCTGCAGAGGAGCGCGCACGGTCTACAAGGCTGTTGATTAGGGATATGGCTGAAAGATGTGCCCACAGAGATGTTAACATCGTGGTCATAAGTCACGGAAATTACCTCAGACTTTTGACTAAAGATGATGCTTTCTTTAAGAATGTCGAGAGACGCATATACGTATTCAACCCCATATCAGATGAGGGTGATCTTCTTGAGACACCTCATAGCATCAGCAGACGAACCGGATAGATGATGTTAGTACAGTCCCCTTGAACTTTGTTTCGTGGCTAGTATTCAATAGGCACCACCTTTATGTTACGGCATTATTCCAGACTGTTGAATCGCAAAATGTTACATTCATAAAATCTAGAAAGCCTTACATATATTGAATATTGAACATTGAATACTGAAAACACATCTTTTAGACACCATTGTTGTGATACTACCTTATTATTATCCACAGAAAACTGTTGTCTTTGTGTTAGTAAACCCGTTTTAGTAAAAACCTCGTATCCAGTACAAGTAAAATTGCATGTAGTTAAACCGAGGTTATACTTTGTGATATTCTTTATTAACTTACATAATTTCCTGTGTTAGCTTAAATCATAGAGCTTTATTCACTTACTCAAATTATCTTTTACGATTTACGTCTATGAAGAAAGATAGAGCAAAAAACTTTTGCAATATGTAACATTTAGCTGAAGATTAACGCTATGCCTATTTTTCATTTAGAGTCTGAATAATTAATGGCACGTTCGATTCGAGAGCCATTGAAAGACTGGACACAGTGCTCACTGGATGACTATGCCCTTGATCGCGCTCATATCGTAGCCATCCGGCTGCCGTTTTGCCCTGGCATCAGCAATTACGCTATGAAGCTGGAGTCAGCAACCTAGTATATTCAGGCAAAGTTCGACGTTATCCTGCAGTCATGGCGCCTCCAAAACCCTCATTCCACGAGACTACCCTGACAAGTTTTGACTAGGGGGACTCTCGCCACGTATAGCGTAGTATTCGAGTGTTCCATGATCTTCCTGTCTCGATGGCATGTCTATTTGATGAAATGTAGAAGAAAGTGACGCAACGCGTAAGAAATGGCTTGTTGGAGGTAGTCAAAGACCGTGTTGCTTTTGCTGGGCGTAGAATTACGTATCCTTGAATAGTCACAAGTAAACCTATATTCTTGTTTGGCATTGTCGGAGCTTTTGTTATCTTCAACGTGCGGTGCTGTATAAACCTGCCGAGGGCAGGACAACTCCAAATTTCAGAAGAACTTGTCAAGATCGACATCCGAATTCGTTGTTTGGCAATGGACAGATAGCTTTGATCTTGTTGACATTTATTATCTATACATTCATATGGTATTGGAGGGCATCTACAGTAATGTTCATAGCGGTCATCTCCTTTTTAGGAATCTTCATTCTCAAGATTTATGCTATGGCCTTCTTGCCAAGACGTAACTCTCTTTATTCCATCCAACCTTTTCAACGCAATCTACATCTACGTGTATCCAGCGCAAACATCTTGGTAGACGTTGTTTTCGAGCCCGGCGGCATCAGTAGGGATGTAGTTAAGGTAAGTAGCGTCCGAGTAGGTCCAGCGAGGGTCATTGAGTTCTGTCTTCCAGGTCCAGTAGATCCAGCCAGCCATGCCAGGCTTCTCATACAGCTGTTGCTGCGCAGTCCAGAACTTGGTGAAGAAGGCGGCATCGGAGTAGTCGACGCCGCTGGTCATGCTCCACTCGCCGGTGATCTCGAAGCTCTCGCCGTCAACAACGCGCGAGTCTCTGCAAGCGCTCTGCATCAAAGTGTCCTGGTTCGAGTTGTCGCTAACACCAAAACCGATGTAGTTGTGGTCGTCGAAGCCCGTCAGGCTGTCGGCCGCCACTGCCGAGTTGCTCCGCGGGTCCCCGGAGGACCATTTGGACGACATGAACTGCACATGCAACTGGCGGTCGCTCGACACACCCAGCGAAGACTCGGCGGAGCGCACGGCCTGGAGCGCACCCGAGTAGTACGTGTCAATCATGCTCGGCACCTGGCCAGGGGCTGGATACCGTCCGTTGGCGTCGTGCATTGAGACGGGCTCGTTAAGCACCTCGATCATGCCGACGGTTGAGTACGCCGAGTTGGTGTGAATGCGGTTCGTCATCCACGACAGCCACTTCTCAGCGCGGCCGTAGTCATAATCGTTGAAGAAGCCCGCACTATTTGACGACTGAAGTCAGTAACCACTATGAAGAGCACAATTTGACTGGTATTTCGGGATCATGCAAGAGTAGCCGATGCTAAAAATAGCCAAAAGGGGATAGAAAAGACCCCAGAAGGCTAACTTACGGGTTCGGGTTCTGCCCCGTGAAAACGTCTTGCTGTTGGCCGCCGGGAGCCCCGTGCAGGTCGATGATGACGTAGATGCCCAGGTCTGAAGCCTTTTGCACGACCGCGTCAAGGTAGGGGAGCATAAGGTCGCCGTCGGCGAACGGCTCGCTAGCCGTGTCTACGATGTCCGTGTAAGACCAGTACCCGATCGGGATGCGAATTGTGTTCAGCCCGACGTCATGTACTGACTGAACTGTGTCGGGCGTAATCCACGTCGCCCAATGTTGCTTGAAGGCGGCGTTGCCGGCGTCTCGGTTGTCGCCTGAGTAGTGATCCCGCATGCAATCGAATTCACTGGCAGATGTGCCGCAGCCCATCACATTGGGCCATTCGTTAGGCATAAAGAACGGCTCGGATATCAGCCATGCTAAAATCGTGTGAGCCTCTGCTGAAGTTTTGATATTGCCAAATGGCTGTAGCCAACTTACATCCGAAGTTGACGCCACGAATCTTAGTTACACCGCTCGGAAGAGAAGGCTCGAACCTTTTGCCGAGCTTCTCAAACCGAGCTGTCATATTGAAAGCTGCCAGGTCGCGGTCCTGGGGCATCCAGGCCCAGACGGCGCCCGCCAGGAAAAGGGGAGCAAGCGGCGAGGAGCGCATCGTGATGATCTTGAGGGTCGATGCTTGCTTCTCACTCAAAATCAATCAATCAATCGAGGAAATGAATGCGACAGCACCGGCGCATTAATATCATCCTCGAAACGAGCCGTACGACCACCTCCCTTTTGTATCGGCTTTTGCTGCCATGTTCAATGTTGCTGGCGCCATCTCGGTCCGATTCGAGGGACCAAGTGACGTCTCCGTCCTTCCGTATTCACGACAGCTTCCCCCGGGCTTGGCGACTACTCTTTTCGGCTGCGTTTAAGATGGCCGATCGTTTCTCAGTCACGTTAGCTCGTTTCAGCCCCGGTCCTTTCACCCCGTACCATAGAGCCTTAACAATCTATCGGGAAGGTCGCGACGCTACAGTGCATTGAAGGACTATCGCCCCCTAACGGTAGCTGCTTTACCAATGAGTTCAACTATCCATTTTCAACATTGGTGTAAGTTTCTTTTCCTTGTTGTTGATTATCCTGCAGGAGTTATTGTTCTGGCGTGTGACCTCAAGAATCACCCCCAAGCTGTTAGCGCAGTTTTCGGCAGTTAGCAACGCACGGTCTAATTAGCCTAGAGGAAGACAAAGTGAAAGGGGAAGCAAGCTTGGCAAGTTAACTTTTAACAGTTTCATTGTCGTTACTGCAGCGCGCTAAGAAAATCGATGCATGAGACTGAGCGATTGGCTACAACAGATAAAAGAAAAAAAGGGGTTCGGCAAGTCAGAATGGTCAGACTGTCGCAATGCCACAGCATTCCTCCTATTGACTACTCGCAAGTAAGCAGGTGAAAATAACCAATTCATCATAAGTGTTTATTCCCGAGTACAGTTTTGCATCTTACCTTGTCTGACATGGAACGTGAAGATGAGCATGAGAGTTCTCTTTTGATTTTGGGGGTGGGTAAGAGGGATTCTATTGACTAGATCCCAAAAGAACTGCAATTAAAAGTCTAATTTGCAGCATTATGAATGTTGCATTAACTGCTTACGACATGTGTAAGTTAAGAGGGAGAAACATGCCTCGGGACGTGACGG